TATATATTAGTATAGATTATCAAAAATGGTACCTTCCGTAGGATTCGAACCTCGGTACAGACTCGCCACTACACCGGACAGCTCATCCGTAGTATTACTAAAGATGTTAACGATTGTTTGTCAGACTTCGCTTTGAGTGATAAAATCATTCGTTGTTACAAATATTTTTGTCTATTTATAATTTTATACTTCTATTATATTACCGTAGTATTTATGAGAAAAGTAAGGCCGGGCGAGTCTAGTTGAGTCCAGCCGAGTGACCAACAAAACTTCGGCGACTCAACTAACCCATAGACAGAGCCCACTGAGTTTCTCGCCGGATCTTCTCAGTGGGTCGCATTTCCGATCCGGTGGTAGATTCTGCGAAGCACTACTCTTGGTAGGGCCAGTGTTAGCAACACCTCCGGTTTGAGCCCCGATAGCTCACCTACACGCTAGGGTAACGCTGATATATCCTCTCAAGGCTATCAGCATAAGAAGGAGAAAAAAACTTCATAGTAGAACACAAAAAAAAAAACAATTTATAAGACAGAGGACAGACGCTGGACAGTAGAATCCGCGACCTAGCCTAACCTACTATCACGTATACCTATATACATACTAAATTATATACATTGTCAGCACCTAAACACGGGGGGTGAAATCTCCCTGCAGTCAGGGTCGACACGAAAAAGTTTTACCAATTAATAATTTCACCACTCATGTTTCGGAAACTTTTAATTCAATTAATTTTAAATTAGAAGTAATCGTGATCACGAATGCTTAAGGTGTTTGTTTGTTACATTCGGTATATTTTTTTGTCCGAAGATTATCTTCGCGCGTCGTTTGTCGAAAATTTGTTTTTGAAGGGTAATGAAAAAGGGAAGCTCTTTCACCGACCTGATGAAATTTCTCGGTAGACCGACGGTCCAAATCTTGTTGTTCGAAACTTCTATATATTCAAACTTTTTTTGGAGTAAACTAACCCATATACAGAGCCCACTGAGTTTCTCGCCGGATCTTTTCAGTGGGTCGCGTTTTCAAACCGATGGTAGGTTCTGCAAAGCACTGCTCTTGCTAGGGTCAGTGTTAGCAAAACCTCCGGTTTGAGCCCCGAGAGCTCACCTACACATTAGGGTAAAGCTGACATAGCTTTATATGGCAATCAGCAAAGGTACCAAAAAAAAGATCGTTAGCAAACTTCACTGTTAAATATCTTGTGTTCTATGGTGACTACCACCACATCACACCACATATGAAGTTAGTGTTGATTACCTTGCAATTGCTAGTGCTGCTCGAAGTCTGCGGTAAGTCGAGACTGAGCTTGAGCTGAGCTGCGTCAGTGCCGTGAATACTCCATGTAATGCAGAGCTGCTAAACCAGAGATGTATGACTCCTATTGATGAGCCAGTCGTGGGTTGCGATGGGCTGTTGCAGCGTGATGAGGCTGTGAAGATGTGTGCCGGAGGACCAGGAAGCGCGATGAGTCGGCTGCGAAGGACTTGTTCAGACTGCGATGCTGACTCGTTTCTACAAGTTAATTGTTTGATTGATTTACATATTAATTCAAGTTTCAATTTCAAACGTGCTTATAGGTTATAATAACAGTAGCCTGTCACCGAACTTAGTAACTTGAGCCACAAAGCATAAAAGCTTTAAAATGAATTGTTATATTCAATCAGCTAAGGTGTTTGGGACTGGAATAGAAAATTTGACTGAACTATACTGAGACCTTAGAACTTATTTCTCAAGGTGGGTGGCGCATTTGCGTTGTATATGTCTATGGGCTCCAGTAACCACTTAAAACCAGGTGGGCTGTGAGCTCGTCTACCCATCTAAGCAACAAAAAAAATATTAAACACACCCGTTTTATTGGAATAAGCCCCGCGCTACTTGTCGTCGTAATTTCGTGTCATAATAACCGAAACACACAAACAAACACCACGAACAAATATAAAGAAATATATATATATGTATAGAACATATTGTTTTATATAAAAACAGTTCTTAAATAGATCGTTGTCTATTTTCAAATAAAAATCATGTGGGATAAAATTTTACCATAATATCATCAAAAGCAAACGTGCCAACCCTAAGTGCGTCAGAGTCAACTGCTAGGGCGCGGGGCGTAGGCGGGCGGTTGGTTTCCTTATTGCATTATCCTTGCGTGGCCTTGGGGTGCAGTCATTGACCTTAAGAATAAAAAAAAACCTTATTATATTAAGGTCAAATAAACACTACTCTCGTCTCCTATGGCAATTAGATATAATTGAAATTAAAAATTACCTTTGTGCCAACTATAGCCGTGGTTCATGGCCTGAGACATAATATTTTGCCTGAAAAATAATAATATTTAACTGATTAATGGAGGGAAGACGTTGTCAGAACTTGAACCATGAACTTTCATTACGCTACTATTCCGCACAGAAGGGATGGGTTCAGACTGGGATTATTGTTATGTCAATGCATGCGATTCTTCGACCTCATTCTAACTAAAGATGGCCACCTGCCCATCCTGCATAAGACAGTAATATAAATATTAAATGTCGATAACAAAAAAATCCAAAATACAGATAACTACCCACATATGGTTTGTAGACTACTTACTGTCTGTGTGTATCTTTCGAATAGAAGCCAAATTGTTATTTTTCTTATTATATATAATAATTAACTATTTAATGGTGGGTTAATACCACGATATCCACATTTTATGAGTTTCGATATCTCATAGTTGTTGCAAGCGCCATGATCATGGGTCGACAGAATACTGCGGGTAGGATTAGATAGCTTTCAGCAGAGAAATCTATCTACCCTCGTTCTAGTCCATTATGGGTGTTACTACAGGAACACCACGACTTGCCTCGATTTTTCTTGTTTTTACTGCTTATTAACATAGTAGCAGTATATTACGGGTGATTTCTTTCTTCATACATTATCATATCACTGACAAGATCATGGGTCGACAGAATACTGCGGGTAGGATTAGATAGCTTTCAGCAGAGAAATCTATCTACCCTCGTTCTAGTCCATTATGGGTGTTACTACAGGAACACCACGACTTGCCTTGATTTTTCTTGTTTTATTGCCTATTAACATGTAGCAGTATATTACGGGTGATTTCTTTGTTCATACATTATCATATCACTGACAATCGGTGGGGCACAAAAGTACTGGAGTGGAGACCTCGTACTGGACGTCGTAACGCGGGCAGCCAGCCAACGACGTGGACCGATGACCTGGTCAAAGTGTTTGGTAGAGACTGGATGAGAACGGCAAAAGACCACAGAGAATGGGGTGCTTTCGAAGAGACCTACACTCAGCATTCTGAAGACACGGGTTGAAGAAGACATTATCATAGTATATTTCCTTAGGTCATTTTGGCCATGCTCCTGTTTGGCGAAAATGACAAAGATAAGACCGCCAAAGAGCGGGTGACATTGCTCGGTAGACGGCCAGAATCATCACCACCACAACGACAATGGACGTTCCAACAATCCTGTGTTTGTGCTTGCCGCAAAATCCTCATCTTCTCACTAGCCCTTGTAGCCTTTTCGACAATATTCTCTATTCACTACTATTTATAATCTTGCCAGGAGTTAACGTGGAAATTTGGAATTTCATTAAAAATACCCCTCATTCACTACAAATAGGGGGAAGGGTGGTGCCACCCCTTCATTGATGCTCATCGCACCCTGGTGGGTGTTCACCCCCCCTAGCATAGTACATACCATGTGCTGTACAGGAAATAACAAGTTAGATGGTAACCTTGGTGATTTGCGTAGGTCGGGATCGAATATATAAGTATATGTACCAACGTAAATTTTATTTAGTAAATTACAATATTGCCTTATTTTCAAGAGTAGGCTAGTATGATATCGAACCCACTTATTAAGTTAACAAAAATAAGCACGAACTTAAATTGTAATCTTCCTATGAATATTATAATTGCGTCCTTGAGGAATTCGAGAATAGAGTCGCTTTTTCCACGTGCTATAATAATATTATGATAATTAAATACAGTATAATTGAAATGTAATCGTGTTGTTTATACTAATAACGAAATGTTTTACTCTTTTTTTTTTTCTGCCTAAGCTGATAGCCTTGAGAGGCTATATCAGCGGAACCTTAACTAGTGGGTGATCTCACGGGGCTCAAACCTGACGACGCTGCTAACACGAACCCTAGCAAGAGCCGTGCTTCGCAGAATCTACCACCGGATCGGAAACGCGACCCACTGAGAAGATCCGGCGAGAAACTCAGCGGGCTGTGTCTGAGGGTTAATTTACTCGTCGAGCCCTTTGTCGCAAGCGACGGGTTCGACGAGAGCGATGACCGGGATGTTTTACGTTGAGGTGGCTGTGAAAGTGACTACAATAAGCAAAATAAATTGTCTTCGTAGTGCCCGTAATTGGTTAGAGCTCTAGCTTAGACGCACAGGCCCGCCGCCGTCGAGCGGGGGCCAGGGAGGCGGATATCGCCCAAGCCCTGGCCCTCTAAGTGTTTCGGTCGGCCTGGGGACCGGCGAAGGGGGCCTAAGAAGACGAAGTGCAAGCTGCTCTGCACGCGTTTTATGCATGAGCATCCGGGTGATGGAAGGCCGGCTATCCTCAACCCACGCTGGTTCTGACCCAGCGGGGTATTCCGTAGGATAGACCATTCTAACCGGCGCCATCTAGGCGGGCTTCGGATAGCCTGCCGACCGAGAGGGCTGGTGGTCGTGGCGCCGACGACCGCCAGTCCGGCGTCCCGAGGGGGAGGGTGATGGGAGAGATGTGCTCCGCACTAAACGCTTCACTTTCCCCCCTTTGCCTTTTCATGAGTTTTGTCTCATGCGAGGTTTGGACGTTGGTTGTTGAGAGACAGGAGGTTTTAGTCGGTTCGACTCCGACATGCCCCGCCCTCCATCCCCAGTGAAGGGCGGAAGTCCGGCGATTTCCTCCTGACAAAAAAAAAAAAAAAGCTCTAGCTTGGGATCGTTGAATCTAGGATATTTATTCATTAATATGTTTTGTTGATTTCAGGCCTGGTATGGACAAGGAGGGCGGCGAGGGTGCCGAGCCGGGGAAGGGGCCCGATGGTCTGCTTGACGCCGCTGGTCTCTTTGGTGGTAAGGCGCATAGATAACACACATAAATTAGTTATAGATAAGCAACTCAATCACTTTATTTATTTATTTTTTAAATGGGTGGACGAGCTCACAGCTCACCTGGTTTTAAGTGGTTACTGGAGCCCATAGACATTTACAACGCAACATAAGTTCTAAGGTCTCAGTATAGTTACAACGGCTGCCCCACCCTTCAAGCCGAAACGCATTACTGCTTTTCGGCAGAAATAGGCGGGGTGGTGGTACCTACCCGTGCGGACTCACAAGAGGTCCTACCACCAATAAAAATGACACTTAACAAAAATGTTTACGGGCGTCGACCACTAGATGGTTTCGCTTCGATTAGTTTCTCATTGCTCCTGTAAATGGCAGTAACATATTACCTATCCTATATTTTATTTTCAATTAAAGATTTTGTGATTTTTCAGAAACCACAAATCGATAAAATTTAATCAATTTGTCTATAAAAAATAAATTGTATGATTTGTTTTTATTTTCTCTGTTTAGTTATGCAATGATTAAATGCCTTAACTTTAACAACATAATATAAGTTTAGGGGCATCCGCTACAAGATGTCGCTAGTTTCAATACAAAAAAAATCTTTTTTTTATTTATATTTATTTATTTATTTATTTATTTAATACAAGGAGAACCAACAGCCAACTAACAAAGTATAATAATATAACAAATAATAGAAACAAAAAGCCAATTAAAGGTTCTCGCCAATATAAACAAATTAAAAACACAAGAGAAACAAAAGCATAGAAACAAAAAAAAAAATTAAAAACAATCAGCAAGCAAGAAACAACATAAGGAATGGAGGAAAACACCAGACTAATTTAAATGTACACTTATGTATAAATGTCACAAATTAATTAAAAACTGTTGTGCTACACATCACCGGCACATGGCCCCGCACCCTCTGCCCCCTCGTCGCCCACGAAAAATCGGGCACTAAGCTGACGTCTANATAAGGAATGGAGGAAAACACCAGACTAATTTAAATGTACACTTATGTATAAATGTCACAAATTAATTAAAAACTGTTGTGCTACACATCACCGGCACATGGCCCCGCACCCTCTGCCCCCTCGTCGCCCACGAAAAATCGGGCACTAAGCTGACGTCTAAGTCCTGTGATAGAGGAATAAAATGGGTCAATATCTAAGAACCTGCCAATCTTCTTAAAGTATCGCACTTTCAGATCCCGGGTAAGGCGCTCTATCTAAACAATATGTTCACGCTTTTAATCTTACTAGTGGTCGCGTGGTAGTCGAAATTATTATAAGTTTGAACATTATCATGGTTCTATTGTCAAATACTACTTCTATAATGACAGATTCCGCCAAGGTTACACTATAGACAAATGATATTAAAGACAAACAACATTAATCTATTCTCAATTTGACCACAGATTTAGACAATAAACAAAAGAGTATATATGCGTGCGTGTGTGTCAAATACACGGTAGTGTGTGTCATGTTTTTATTTTTATTTAATGTATTTTTTATGCATAATTTAAAAAAAAATATTAGCATTCTACACTCCTCTATATTCTCTATAAGTGTGGGAAACTTAACTTAATTTTTTTTTTTGTTGCCCTTGTAGGCATACGAGCATACGGCCCACCTGATGGTGAGTGGTTACCGTCGCCCATGGACTTCAGCAATGCCAGGAGCAGAGCCAAGTCCCTGCCTACCGCTTAATACAAGCCTCGTTTGAAGAAGGACATGTCATAGCGCCAAATTAAATAGGCCAAACTGTAAATTGTGTTTCGGTGTTTAGCTTATTAAAAAAAAAATGTTTTTGAATAGTCTCCTTGAAATTCGTATTTATAAATAAGCACAACACACAACAAAAAAAGGCTATTCGTTATACCGCCTGCGATGTGTACTTGCCAGTCAGTCACGGTACTACTGTTTTTACGTAAATATAAAATAATAATATGTTAATTAATAATGAATTATTTTACGTTCACCGAACGAAGAGCGCTGTTCAGACGAGTAACAAGATGTTTTATGTTGACGCCGGTGAAAGTGACTACAGTAACCGAGATATATACATAATTTTATTGCAAAAGCGGTAAATGCGACGAATACGCCATTTTCACGATAATTGTTTTCGGAGGTAAAGGTCAAAGGTCTTGTGGCAAGTGGCTGGTCTCGTTTGTGAACTGTACCTCTGCACTACTTAATCTTCAGGTGACGGTTCGAGATGATCCGGACTTCCTATTTTTTAAGATTTCATGGCTTAGCAACGAGACCTTTAAGCCAAGCCACTTCGATAAAGCGGCACGACACGAGAACCCTCTCATCGTGGCCGCCGGTAACTACATTCCCGATCCTGCGGACAGAATGGAAAGCAGTCGACGTCGCCCAAAACACGTCATCTCGGATCCTCCCGATCCACTAACGGTGCTTCTAGGTACTTCAAGCACCGGTCACCGTTCTCGTCGAACCCGTCGCTTGCGACNTCTCGGATCCTCCCGATCCACTAACGGTGCTTCTAGGTACTTCAAGCACCGGTCACCGTTCTCGTCGAACCCGTCGCTTGCGACGAAGGGCTCGACGAGTAAATTAACTCTCAGACACAGCCCACTGAGTTTCTCGCCGGATCTTCTCAGTGGGTCGCGTTTCCGATCCGGTGGTAGATTCTGCGAAGCACTGCTCTTGCTAGGGTTCGTGTTAGCAACGTCGTCAGGTTTGAGCCCCGTGAGCTCACCTACTAGCCACGGTTACGCTGAAATAGCCTCTCAAGGCTATCAGCTTAGGTAGGAAAAAAGAAAAATTAAGCCAAGTCGTATGTTTTCTTCTTATAAGCAGTTGTAATATGAAAAATGATACGAAGCGAAATGACGACGACGAAAAGACGATGTTGACTAATCTAAGACTAAATATTATTTTATTTTTTTAAGATTTCATGGCCTAGTAACGAGACCTTTCAGCCAAGTTTTATATTTTCTTTTTGTTACTGTTATCATATGGAAAAATGACATGAAGCGAAATGAGATGATGACGCCTAATCTGAGACTTTAATCGGGCAAAACAATATTCACAACTTCGCTTCTCGAGTTCCAGCGAAGAAGTCTCTCCTTTTTATCGTCGTATCTCTTGCTAAAGAAGCAGATAAGAAACACTGCGCTCATATGCAGTACTCTCTCAGAGATCTCTTTGCCACGTACCATAGAACTTTGGAACGACTTACCCTTCAGTGTTTCCTGTGTGCTTAGTGCGAGTTTATTAACGTTCTCGTAAAAGTTAAGCCAATTTTGTATGCAATTGGAACAGCGCCCCTAGCCGAAAACGTACGTAAAATATCCCATTTTACCCCACTTTTACTCTATCGAGAACCTTAAAACACTCGTCCTAAGCACACTGAGCGCTATGACATGTTCTTCAAACGATGGTCAGTGGTAATCACGTATGGAGCCGTATGTTCGTCAGTCCAAAAAAAAGCAACAAGGAAATAACTTCTACAATGATTTGAGATGCAAAAATTTGGTCGTCTCGTCATCATAATCGGTTGCTCTGAGCAGAGCAGTCGTGTTCATGTGGAATTTTTGCTTATTAAAGCCTCGACAGATGCTTTCCATAGTTTGCGAACCGAGACCCGGCGCACGCACTCGTTAAGTGGGGTTTCAGTAAGGTTTTTCATTTGATCAGTCCGGCCCATGGTCGTCTAATTGGTTTTAAATAACGCTTTAGGAGTTGTATTGGCGGTTCACGTAGCAACAGTACATATAGATCTATGTCTTTTTTTTACTGCTTAGATGGATGGACGAGCTCACAGCCCAACTGGTGTTAAGTGGTTACTGGAGCCCATAGACATCTACAACGTAAATGCGCCACCCACCTTGAGATATAAGTTCTAAGGTCTCAAGTATAGTTACAACGGCTGCCCCCACCCTTCAAACCGAAACGCATTACTGCTTCACGGCAGTAATAGGCGGGGTGGTGGTACCTACCCGCGCGTACTCACAAGAGGTCCTACCACCAGTAATTACGCAAATTATAATTTTGCGGGTTTAATTTTTATTACACGATGCTATTCCTTCACCGTGGAAGTCAATCGTGAACAATTGTTGAGTACGTATTTCATTAGAAAAAGTGGCACCCGTCTGAGATTCGAACACCGGTGCATCGTTCAACGCGAATACACCAGACGTCTTATCCTTTAGGCCACGACGACTTCACTGTCTGGTGTTCGTTAACGCAGACAAAGTTCCTTTTAGTTCGAAAAATCCTTACGTCAAGGTTTAATAATGTTTCGTAAATGTATGCGTGATTTTAATTAGGAATGAGCAAACCCTGAGTTACTTGCAGATTTTAAAATACAGCTTATAAGCTTCCCGTGAAAACGTAGTTATATAAAACAAAGGTTTTGATTTTGAATATTGCACGACCCGAGAAGATATCTATATCAGTAAAAGTAAAGTTTAACATTATTATTGACGGCACGTTTTTTTTTCTGTATACAATTTGATTTCACAAAACGATTTGAATAAATAAAACTTCAGCTTAGATTTTAAATTGATATCTAAATCTACCAAGTTTATTTAAAAAAATTTAGATTGCTATCGAAATTTTAAAGGATGTAAATTTTGCAATGATTTAATTTGCAAGATCACATTACATTTCAATGTTATATTAACTAAGTAATTTTTTTTATCATTTTATGTTCTACTTAGCGAATGAAAAAGAATATTAAATCACACATTAAGATACCAATTAAATCTAATATTAATGTTTAAAAGTATAATGAACAGTTACCGTTAAAAGCAATCATGTCTAGACAATCACCTAAGGAAGGAAGAAGTTTGTTAGACAAAATTAAACCGGCAACAATTATGTACTATTATTCATTATCTCTTTTTTTTCCTACCTATTCTAGAAACCTCGAGGGGTTATTCTAGATTAGCCGAGATAGTAGGTGAGCTCACGGGGCTCAAACCTGACGACGTTGCTATCACGAACCCTAGCAAGAGCCATGCTTTGCAGAATCTA